TGCAGACTACCACCTCAGACTCACAGCTGCGCAGCTAAGTACTAAGACTTTGGAACTGTAGTTGTGAATAAAATGACTAGAGTATCTATAATGTATAAGCACACTTTTGACAAATGTTATCTTGGTTTCGCAGAGCCTTTAATTTTCATACATGCTCAACTGAAGCAACATAGAGAATCACATTTCCGCGGTGCAATTAAACGCGCCATGTTCACTGCTTTTTCCTCATGTAATAAAATCAAAGAAGACGGTCCAGGTAGGGACTGATACATATCAATTTGCAAAATGAGTGAGCAGCATATACGTGTCCAAATGCACTTCTAATACCACCATGGATTTTTCCTCATGCTCTTTAATGATTCTACAAGACTTGCTTTGGTTTCTACTAATGCCGCTTGGGTGTAACTTTAAAGCTCTATCTTGTAATTGAAACATTTGAAAACAATTAGAATGAAATTGTGATACATGCTTGATTAACTCAACTTACCATTCAAACTATACTTCCTGGCTTCAACTTTATAAGGGAGATCAAAAGAGCTTAATTATGTTGCTTTCCAAGTAACTCTACCATCCAAAAACATTCCAAAAACCAGCCAAAAACGTTCATCTTGTACTTGACTAATTATATTCATAAACTTAGGTTAGTTTCCAAAAGAATGAAGCAGGGGATGGTTAGAGCAAGCAACAATTCTCTCCTTGTTTATCGTTTTAGAAAATAATCTCAAACTTTTTACATTTGGCTTCTATAATGAGGACACACCCGCTGTCAAGAGGGAAGCCAGCTGTTGGCGGGGACCAGCCAGGAAGAGCGAGGCATCGGAATAAGCTAAAGTTGACTCAAAGCGCCGCAGCATCAGTGGTCCCATAGTGCAGTGTGGCGGCAGTGACCCATTCTCTGATGCTCCTCTCTCCGCCTTTATCAAACTGCCTTTCATCTGCTTTTCTTTCATCTGCGGCTGATGGGTGGCCAGCGCACGGCCGAATACAGGACAGCAGGCAAATAGACCACGGGACGTATTTGGGTTTTTGTACCGAGAAACAGAGACATAATGGAGAAACCGCATATAGGGTCGCTGCATTTGGAGTGAATACGACCTTTTTGAGACTTCACCATAGAGTGCAAGATTAAAACTGTGGCACACATTGTAATCTCTTCTAATTATCTAGCAATTTTGTCACCTAGCAAGCCTGGGAACTATCTAATATGAAAGATATACTGAATGAGTCGTCCCATATCAACACCTAATTTGCGGTAAACATCTGTATTTTTGCCTACTTTGACGATAAGCTATTATTAATGTAACTACATGGAAGCTGATCAAACTGTTTACCTGTCACCCGTGGAGACCGTAGAAACTGCGTTCTTTGATTCACAAACCCTGATATTAAAAAACCTCATAAAGATAAATGTGTGTGTTCTGTCGGGTCTAAACTTGTAATGACTCCTGTGGCGGCGGGAAGTTCATTTAAATCTATTATAACTCTCAAATAAGTCCCAAATTCAATTCCATTCAATAAATGTTAGTAGCCCTAAATCACAACAGCAGTAATCTCAGACGACTTCACAAAGTTGATGATTCCACAACAAATGATCAGAGAATCAGACAGTTTGAACCAGGACATGCAATGATGACAAACACATAGGAGCCATTGGTCCATAGGGGGCGGATGGGCAAATAATGCATAGGAGTATTTATCAAGGTTTTATTTTTTTATTTTTTTTATTTTTTTTAAATTTATTTATTTGTTTTGGGAGTAGAAATATGATTACTACCCCTTAAAACTGGGATACCTGACTTTTTCTGTCATAAATAACACATTTTGTTTGTCCCCACAGAGACAGTCTGGTAAAAGTATAATATTGTGAACAAATTCGACCACAAAATGCTGTCTTCTTCTTCACCCTTTGAGTCACTATTTGACACTTTGGGCTGAGAGCTGATCGTAATATTTGACAAAAATACATACATACAAAAACTAGTGACAGGATCAAGCTATTTTGAAAGTATTTTTCCCATAGCTTCTCTTTTGTGTTATGCAAAGTAGGTACCCCAGCTTTAACAATGGAGCCAACTGATTTACCAAGCGCATGTCCTATAACTAAGCCACGAAAATTGCATATATAATATTTTGCACCTGGATTGATAAATATACCCCTTGGTGTATATTTGCTTTCCCAGATATGATGAGAAGGACATAAGAAATCCCTTAAGTGGGTTTCAACAGCTTTTACACAGTGGTCCTAATGAAGCCGGAGTGTTTGATTGGTTTGTTGTTTCTGGAGCAAACACTGAGAGCTGTTAGCGCAGTGTGGACAGAGCCATTGACAGACAAACACCCGACACATGGACCCTCCAGATGTGGAACAGGCCCTTGGGCACTCAGAGCTCTGGGCACAGGTGCAACCAAACATTACTATGTTTTATAAGGATTCATATCATTATGTGTCATCTGTTTACAACTGTTCAGAGTGTGTCAGAATGTGGGGGGGGGGGTTAGAAAATGTTATTCAATAAAACTGGAGGATTATACTTCTAAAGCACAGAAAATGAATGTATGAATACAATCTAAATAGATCCTCGCTATAGAACAAAAAGAGTTTGGTTCTATAGTTTGGTCTACAATATCTGTCACATCTTTAGATCAGCTTTTTCAGAGGGAAGATTTAAAAAGAGAGCCAATAATCCCTCGGCCAACCAAAGTGTCAAATAGTGACTCCCAGGGATCTTTCTTACAAGTATATAATTGATGTTTTCAAACAAGATGGAGACAGAATGTTGGGATGTTCACTATCTGTCTGATTAGTTCTCTACATTTTACTTTTGCAAGACTTTCTGTTGGTACAAACTACATTCTATAAAACAAATAAGCGCTGTATCCCACAGATTTAAGGTTCAAATACAAGAAAATGGTTCAACATACAAAGGTAACTCAGTCTGCACATCCCTTAAAACACGACTAACTTGAAGTAAAGTAGGATCAAAACAAGCATAAACAGGACATATCAGGGGCTCAAGCAGGACCAAAACAGCATGAGTTTGTCTTTTATGAAAGAAAGAATTCCAGGCTGTGTAGAGGTTATCGTAAGTACAGCAAATCATGAAACAATAATTAAATGACATACATTAATTTGAAATGTGTATAATGAAAAGAAAGAGCAGACTCTTGGCAAAACTTAAGTTAGATGTTCAATTGTTTTTGGATGATATTATTTGATTTATGTTTTGCTTTTTTGCAGTGATTTAGTCTTTTTTTCCTTTCCTCTTTTCAGAACCTCACACATTACGCTATAATCTTCTTCGGAACTCCTACATTTGGTGTATTTGAAGACACAAACAGACACTGAGACTCAACCAACTAGAGGAAGTGTCACATTTCTTAACAATTAGGTTCATAAACAAACTCCCGAAGTCTAGTTTGTTTAGCGAACTGTCACCCCACTCTCACCTCCAAGCGTCAATTACAGAACCTCAAAAATGCTGTTTTCTCTTTCATGTACAAAACAAGGTTGCGCAAACTCCCACAACACCTGACCTGCGCCTGGACTGATTTAGCCCCAGTCTTAAAACCACCACAAGGAGTAAAGGTTAACACATACATTCTCTCACAGTTTCACTGAAGATTTAAAAAAGTAAAAACATAATTTTCATAATAGCAGGTTAAGCGAGAGTTCATTTATAGCAGCGTTGGTCCAATCCGTGCATTCCTCTGAACCTCAATATGAAAACTCAAGAAACACTCGAGACATTCTCATTGGCCTTGCTGTGATTTCTATAAATACCTTCATTCCGAGACACTGGCATCAGAATTAATATTGATTTCATGTTTTTGCCTTCAGCCTTGCCAATTACAATTACTTCTACCCGCACATGATTGTTGTTGGGTTTTACTGGTTGGAAAATTCAAATTGGGAAGTAGGTCTTAGTCTGATAACTGATTTGCAAAAGTACCACAGTTATTACTATTATCATGAGCATGTAGACAGAGCTTCTCAATAAAATGACACATAAAGTATTTGTGAATTTGTTGGAGTGGATGCCAGAACATGAGTATTACCCCAGACTGTGAACCTTGGCCATGCAGTTTCAGGCTGACCCAAAAAGAAACACAAAAATAATCATACAAATACATTTTAACCAAGTTGCATCTGCCACAAGGTGTAACTACCTTTATGGGATGCACCTGAACACAACATACACTCCCGTCTGCAGAGCATTGTTCCCATAGAGCAACAGCTGAGCTCCGCACTGTAGAGGCCTGTATATTTTTACCTCGGCCCACATACGGAGCAACATGCCAGCCCTCGGCCTTGAGCACCTCTCCATGCACTCACACAGACGCACTCAGACACCCAGAGACACATAGGTCAAGTCCAGCTGCCCGCCACAGCCACCGCACAACGTAAACAACTTTCACACACGCCGTGAATCATCCCGACCTTTCAATATTGTTCTAGATAAATATATTCAGCTCCGCACATAAATACATGCCACCATAATGATCGTGCGGGACCACAAATGGCCGTGACTGGAAGTTAGTTCCCACAGTAGAGCAGCAGCAGCATCAGAGCAGCCCAGCCCAAATCCACATCTCGCCTTACACAAAATAGAGAGGTGCTCCACTACAACAAACAGTGGTTAAATGCAAGCTCCCAACATTTATGTCCTGGAACTAAAGCTGTTTTCTGCCTCTATGTAACTTAAGATGAGAGCCCAGGCTTCTACCTCGCACTTAGAACCACTCTTCTACCTCCATCTCCACAGCCACACGAGTCCCTGTGGGCAGCAGCTGTTTGAGTGCTAATCTCCATCAGAGCTACTGAACTGGCTCTTGCATTGGGGCGCCATATAAAAAACCCCATTTTTTTCTGATCTCCAAAAACAATAAAACGGCACAACTTGGGGGAAAAAACACAACAATAACAAAACAATCAAACCAACACAATGAATCAGGAGAATGTTTGGCGAAAGAAAAAACGCAATATAGAAAAAGAAATGAACTTACAGTCTGTAGAGTTTGGTTGTTCCCAGGAAAAGCAGCTCAGGGAATACCGCCAGATTATTCCTATTGAGGCGTCTGGGGAATAAAAAGGAAAGAAGTTAGGAAACAAGCTTTACATCGTCGCTAAATGAATCGTGGACAATGTTGGTTCGTTAAAGGTTCATTCCACAACTGTCCTCATGGTGACCCGCATTGTGCTACTTTGCATGAAATGTCTCTCAATTTGGTTCAGATAGCTTTTTTTAGAGTGAGAAGACCCGCCTCTCCACAGATATAACTTAGCCGAGTGATGTCATTTGTTTGTTTGCGATGTAAAAGAAAAGTTGAATGATAAATAGCATAAATAGCAAAGCAAAACAAAACCAAGAAAAAGCAGGTGTGCTACCAGGATATTCGAGCAATGCACTTTTCGCATCATATCCAAGTGTTGTTTTCATCATATCTACGCAGTATTATCTTCTACTTGTTCTGCAACACTGTCATTTTAGGGGATAAGAAAGTAGGATGTAGATTGTGTGCATAGTGTGAGTGAATTACCCTGTCTGGCCCATTGATTTAAGGGGTACAACATGGTCGCCGGACAAACAGCGGGCTCAACGGAGACCAGAAAGAAGGCGGGCGAAGGAAGATGAGAGAGGGGAGGGAGGGACTTTTACTTTTACCACAATGGCAAAAAGAGAGGAGACGATGTGGGAAAAACAAACAGGCAGTCTGGCCGGGCTACCGAATGTGTGAAAAGGACCCCATTGAGTAAACAAGGGCTTCACAAGGAAAGAGCTCACAACAACCCAACACACACACACACTTGGACACACACGCTAAGAAAACTGGGTTGAGTTTAATAATCTAGGTGCAATCATTTAACCCGGCTGAAGTGGAGTGAAGAGGGTTAGGGGGGTGTGGGGGTTTGGTGCCGACACAGTTTAACCTAACATCCACAAGAGCAGAAGGACTCTGGTGGAGGACGCATAGCAGCTACTGGAATGAACTGGAGTTATATGAGAAATTCAGAATATTTTATTTATCCCACCAGGGGAATTTGTTTGGGCAGCACAGGGCAGAAAACTTAAAAAACTCATACAAACACAGGAAATGTCAGACAGTAACAAAAGCCCTTCTATCGTGTTCTAATGTTCTAATTTAATGTAAGTCATGTTGAGTGAACCAAAACATTGTTTTAAATGAATCATTTATCTATTTAAATCTATAGATCTAAAAGAAATTTGACCCAGATAGTGAAGTCGCTCTGAGATTATTTTTGGAAACACACAAAATGCATCAATCACATTTACATGAATTTTCAAATTAAGAAATGACCTGATTAATATTGAAATAATGTGTTAATGTTTTTGTAAGATAATAATTCAGCTCGGTGGAGCATATGGCGGCCAAAAAGAAGCCTTCTCACTCACTGTCTTTCTGACAATGGATTATAACTTTCATTGAGTTTTTTTTTATGGGTGGCTGAGTGGATAGCACTCTCGCCTCTCAGCAAGAAGGTCCTGGGTTCGAATCCTGGTCAGAACAGGGCCTTTCTGAGTGGAGTTTGCATGTTCTCTCCGTGTCTGTGTAGGTTTCCTCCGTGTACTCCGGTTTCCCCTACCACTAAAAACATGTACAATAGATCTGGCCTGCACCTCCTGGACTGACGACCCTGTTCCCATCTCTGTGTGGAGTGAGAGACAGATGCCCAAAAATAACAATTGTAAAACACTTTGTGACTCTGGTCTGTGAAAGGCGCTATATAAATAAAGATTACTTACTTACTTATTTTTGGTTTGGAACTTTCCACCACGTTTTAATGTTAATGTAATAATTGTTAATAAGATTGTATATGTTTCACTTGGGTTGCTTTTTGTTATGGATCTCTGTGTGTGTTTATGTTAAAAAAACAGTAATGGGAAAAAATAATAATAATGGTGCACTTTAAAATTAATGAATTGCATCTAGTCAATTCTTGAAAGAATTGCATTCCTATAGTTTTGCTTTGATTCAGTCAAATTATATTTAAAAATCAAATAATCTTAGACATTTTACCATATAATAGATCAATCAATCCAAACGAATAATGAATCATAACTGATAAACATCACCTAGTTTAAAATCAACCTTGAGCAATTCACCTGACCTGAGACAACTTTCCCCTCTGGTTTGGGACATCATCAGTTACATGTGAATGTGAATTATACAAAACTAAACCATTTAACCCAAAAGAATCCGAGGTGAACTTTATTTTACCAAATTAATTGATTTCAGTCAATACGTTTTCGAATGATCTGCAACCTTTCATTCTTCATACTTTTGCATCCCGCACTTGGTATGATGTCACCTTCTGCTGGTCTTGGGCAGCAGAACACAGTGGCCTCACATGCGCGCACATCTACACAGAAGTTACATCAGAGGCCACTTAAATATTTAACGTCCCGCAGAAATGATGGCCGTGAATAATTTACTGCCTCGGGCTCCGGGTGCCTGTAAGAGAGTGAAGAGGCCCACTCCCCGCTTCAGCCCTACCCAGTCGAGGGCAGCCACCACTGGGCTACACCTCCACAGGAAGCAGAGGGTGCAGGTGCGGGAGGGGGGGGCATGAGCTCATACACTTAAAATAGATAGGATGCTGTCAGACTAAGAGAGTGAGAGAGGCTGAGCGCAGAAAGTGTCAATGTGATTTATTTCTCTGTCGCTTCGATGTCGCAGGGAAATCATTTTTATCATGTAAACATCATCTCCTGCTAGTTTTATGGACAGATTACATGGTGCCTCATTTCTGCTTCGTAAATACAGCCTTATTATGGCATAGGATTCTGCTGTCGTTCATTGCCATGGAAACAAAAGTGTTAAAGAAACCACCAATTTTAGAATAACAAATGTGAGAGTTGTAGGTAGGTATGCTCCAAAAAACTGAGATCAAGGACTTTATTCAGAGTATATGGCTGCTGATACTGAAACCAGGCTTCATTTTACAGAACTTGCAATGCTGTAGTAAAATTACATTCATTCAATCCAATTCAATCCAAATTATTCATGTAGCAAATTTCATAAACACAGTTGCACAATATGTATTTATGTATAACTTTGCTATGAACATTTCATAGTTTACCTGCTTTGTCTCCACTGCATGCAGTGGAGACAATTTCCTTGGCCTAAGTATCTTCCAGACTAAAAAAATAAATTCCACCACTCCCACAATCACTGTCAACAATGAAGTAATAGAAAAAATCTCGAACAAAAATGTATCATAATTGATCACAAACTCACTTTCCAGGTCAACACTGAACAAATCTTCTCAAAATGTCAAAACAGCGCCTCTTTTTCAGCCCTAAATGATGCCAGATACAAAATCACAAATCAATTCTTTCTGTTTTCTACACACTTTCTACAAGCTTAATTGAATCAATGTTACAGCCTGGTTTATTTCACTGTCTCACAACACAATCCTCACATTAAGATCAATAAAAGCTGCAGCAAATCATTGGACAGTCGCTGCAAGACTGGTCTACAATAACATCAAAGGTATTTCATGGATTACTTGATTACTAAAGTAATCAAAAGCTGCAATTCGGGTCATTATACTCCTCCCTGTAGCTCCACACCAATAAGTCACATTAAGTATAACAAATGTTTAATTTACTTTAATCACAGCTAAACTTTTGACCAATAATAAGGAAGATTAACAAAAGATGCTGGATTGGATTTGGCTTTCAATACCAAAAAGACACACACACACCTCACTCTAGGTAATGAGGGTGAAGTGACTAGCCTCAGGACAGAATAATAATGTGTTACTTTACAGCCTTCCCACTGTGACACCTGGTCTCCCCAGAGGTCTCCCATCACAGTACTAACCAGGCTCTGCCCTGCGTAGCCTCTGATATCTGGCGAGATCAGGCTTGCACATGCAGGTGGCCAGACTTCTAGTTAATCTGATTTAGTTCATAAAAAAATGTGTGATATACAGTTGTTAGACGTGCACTCCTTTGGCAGAGGAATTGTGGATTTTTTATGTGGAAATACTTTTTGCTTAAACAATTTGATTCTGCTCAAATAAAAACTTGTTGCGCATTTTTGGCAGTTTTTAATTGCAAATTTCCTGACAAACAGGGGGATTATTTATGATTAGATTTGTGCTTTTATGTTGTATGGTTATATGTTGAAACCAGGAACAACAGCATTTTGGTGAAATAGACCGAATGAAAATTATCATGTAAGAAATAGTTTAAAATGTCTTTTAACCTTGGTCAAAGAAAGTGTTTTAGCAACTATACTATAAGATCAACAGTTGTTTTCACATGACAGAAGGAGTCTTGTTTATTGAATGAAATAATGACTGGATGTTGTGGTGAAGAATTCAGACGTGCAGAATCTATATCATGAGAAAAATCTGATACAAAGATGTGACAGAAGTCAACAATACATGAATGTGAAAACTAGAGATAGAACCATTTTGAGCAGCAGGAACTATTTACATGGATTATATTTCATAGTTAATGTTTTGTGCTTTCAGAGTTAGACACCCCAGCTTAAAGTTGTTGACAGATGATGAACAGAAAGACAAAACTTAAGGCCCTACATTTAGATATTCTTTTTACACGGCTCCTCACAGCAGCAGTAAAATGCTCCATTGATTTGAATGTAATTTCAAAACGTTCTACCGATCATTATTTCTTGATAACGGACCTCTCAAAACAATAATACTTCATAATAATACTCTGTCCTTGTAATTCAGATGTGTAGATTACTCCGCAAGTAGTTCCGGCCGCTCCGGAGCTCGCCACGCTCAATAAAGGAAATACCAATCAATCAACACATTTAAATGTTGATCGAAGAATACATTATACATACAGTAAACATTTTTAAAACACATGCACATGCAGAAGTATCTGCTAATGTTTTCATGACAAAAATACTGTTTTGATGCGAGAAAAAGCGATTGCGAAAAACGCGGAAGTAGATTCCGGGACATTATAGGAACATTTGCAGAGGATCGAATTATGGATTTAGGTTAAGTTTATGTAGGGCGGTACTTATTTTGCGTAATATACATTATCCCTTCATATATAAGAATAGAAAAATAAATATTGCACTGGGCCTGTACAGCATCAGTGACTCATTTGAAAAACAACTGCAGTCCATAAGAAAGCACATGATAACGATGGAGGCCATAGAAAGAGGACGTAAAACAGTCTCAAGCAAAGCCACGCAGTCTGGTGGTGCTAATCCCCGCAGTCATAAACAGATGCTAAAATACTCCAGTGCACATAGTAAACACTCACTAAAAACCACTGCATCATGAGCACATTCGAACATAAAAAACTCAAGACCTCAGATGACACGCTCAGAGTGATGTCCACAGATAACATCTCTTAATGCAATCAAGAGGCCTCTGAACCACATAGCCCTGACCACTATCACAAAAGATGTCTCGTGTTTACCAACAAACAGACAAATTATTGGTTTCTGGGAAAGAGCAAAGCACAGCGAACCCGGGAGGAAAATCTATCACTGATGACTTTCTTCACACAAGACTGTTGTAGAATTGTGGCTTTTGTGTGTCAGCGCAGTGCAGATAATTTCAAGCTCTAGTGCTCAATAAAAATGAAGAAAGAAGCATTTTAAAAGTTGCCAGGCAAGAACAATAGTATAATTTAGGCTTTGTCCCATTATAATTGAGCACCAATCTTTGGCTTCGCCTTGAAAACCATTCCGCTTTTCTTGAAACATATACAAGAATAACGGCACCTAATGATCTCATCTGTGCCTTCATTTGAAAGATACCTGCAGTCATTGTCATTCATGGTTATTCAAATGGTTGGGCACAATGCAAACTCATAATAATTATGAGTTCATTATCTGGCACTCTATCTCTTACCTGCTTTTGAGGTGATCCTGCCAGAGCTGTTACATGTTCTGCATTTTTGTGGTTATCTGTTCAGATCTTGAATAAGATGAGGCAAATAAATCAGTCAAGTCAGTCAAATGTAAACGCGAGATAAGACCAAAATGTACTCGCAGGAGGAACTCTGGTCTTTCCTCCGCTGCAGGCACAGGGGGAAACATTCCTGTATGTGCTGCAGACAATAGGAGAGGATGGGTGAGGATAGGGCCATAGAAAAAGAAAACCTACTTTGGCAGATCATCCTTGCGTAAGTGAATGTGCAAGTGGGGTATCCGTACACACAACTCTCGTACTTTACATGACCATACCCCAGACTGTTACCCCCACACCGATATCCCGCAGCTATTGCCCCTCACCTGACCCAGTCCCGCCCCGCCCTGCAGCCCTGCCGCAAACAGGATGAGAGGGGCCGTTTTCAGCCCGATGGGGGGCAGTCATACTGGATCCATCAGTGTGACTGAGCTTAAGGCCCTCTCCTCTACGTAGTGGTGCCCAGCAGGCCCCCTCCGCCCCCCACGCCGAGCCGAGGTCTTTGAAATGAGCCTCCAGACTCCGGACTCCGGAGACAGGGTTTTGTCTGGAGGCGGCAGGGGGGCATTGATGACTGACTCTAGCTTTATTTTTGTGAACGCTGTGGACGTGGAATTACAGTTCAAGTCTCACAAGCAAAACACAAACAGGCACGATGTGTTACAAAGCGAGTAATGCTCCGATAAGCAGACGCAGGCTTTGTTTTCCACACCATCATTAGCTTTTCCTTTGATAATTGGAAAATAGTCATCACCCTCACTTATCAAAGTTATAAGCCTGCCAGGGAGGAGTACTATTGTTGATTTAGCTCATCACATTCAAGAACATGGTAGTGTACAGTATGTATGACCTAATTTACACACACATGTTGAGTTTTGTGAAGTGTATTTCAATCCGGTTGACTCTGGAGAGACCATAGAACCACTGCAACATTATTCCGTCAGTGGAAGTAGAGAGGTTTACTAAACATTACACTCAGAGACATTATGCTTCATTCCAGGTTACAGGTGGCAAATTTGAATGTGTTGAAGTATGTCTGAATGCGCATCTAAGCAACAAACTTTAATTAAAGGTTAAATAGGCCTTTAATTAAAAGTCTTCACTCGAGTGCATTCCAGTTTGTTGCTGTGCTGGGTAACACACAGTTACTCCCAGATCAAGCAGAGCTGACAGTCCAGACAATGGTCATATCACCAGTCAGGGGTCCATGTTTCACACAGACAAACCCAGGCTTAATTATGTATAAGTGCCTGAGGGCTGGATGCTGAATACCAGTGATTCCACACAAGCACCGTAACAACCCGCCACTGTTCCCAAGTCACCGCCCTATGATGCCGTCTACAACTTACATGCAATTATTATTATTGTTATATTTAACTCAATAATGTGATGATTTTTAAGCAACATGAAGTGATGGTAAATGATACACTTTTGTTATACTTACAGTCGCTCAAGCTCCTTCAAGTCTTGGAACGCTCCTCTCTCAATCATGGTGATTTTGTTCTCCATAAGCTGCCTGAAAAAAGATTTTACAACATTATTTTGAAGCAATCCAAACAAGGAAATGACCTTAAATCAGGTAGATACTGAGATACTGTTTCTAGCTAAAACATTGTTTGCTGGTTTGCTGCTGTTCTTTCTTTCATTTTTTGGAATTTGGAATTGCATTATGTTATTTTACAATTGGTTATGGTTATGGTTATGGTTAAGGTATAGCTTATTTTTGTATTATAATTGAGACATCCTTAAATGCCACTAAGAACTTCTATTGTTATTGCAAAGATCTTGCACGGCTTTAGCAAAATATTAAATGTGCAATTAAAAGTAACTTCCCCAACATTACAATTTGTGGATAAGAGCCAATGGGAAAATAGAAAAGTCCGCCTTGAAAGCTGATTTGATAAAGACGGTCAATTGCGGCTGACGACCCGGAGAGGAGGGAGCAGAGCTTGACAGGGCAGAGAGATTGACAGCTCACAGGAGGAAGGCAGCGATGGCCAGAGAGATGGTGCTTCAGTGATAAAAGAGCTGAGGCGCAGATGGGAGCTGATAGAATGTTGAAACAGCGAAAGAGATGGAGGCCGAAGACAATCAGAGCCGGTCGATAGCAGCCCAGAATTGACTTTAAAACTGGTCCATCACTTGGACACAGACTCATCTATCATCCAATTTACTCCCTATCTAACCACACGCCTGTGACTACTCATTCACTTAGGACAACTCCTCTGCCCCAAGCTGCAGCCTGCTGACCAAGCTGACATAGCCCTGAGCTCACCATAAACAATTTGTGGCCATGTAGCAAGATACAACATTATATTAAAAGCTTGGTTTAAAGACAGCACAATGTGTCTTTGTTTCTTGAAGTAATGTCCATTATCCAAATTGTGGATTTCCAATGTGAGTGAGAGAGAATACATGGCCACTATGTATATAAAAATTATACATTTGACAATCTTATGACGTCTGGCAGAATTGGAGTGACGGGCAACACAAGTTTTTCTGCATGAAACTTTCTGCATAGAACAGGCCTAGAAAAAGATCACATTCTTGCATCATAAAGTAAGCCGTGAATGAATGAATGAATGAAATGAAAAAGTTGACTATTCTCTAAGCAGCAACCAGGTGAATGAAAAGCAGGAAACAAGAGACAGAGAAAGTGCACACACCCAATTAAGGACATAATCTGTGTAGGAATTTCAGCAATGTGTATTCTTGGCCATTCACTTTCTGTGGCTGAATGCTGCCAGCGCACTGCACACTCTCAAAGGGACAAACTTAACCTGACACCATCACAGGTGGACAAACCTGTTCCTTCTCTCTCCCCCTACTGTGCGTGTCTCCCCTGTTGGCTGTCCCCTCTATACGACCGCTATCTCTGCTTTGGCCCCGTACACTTCCTCAGCAGCGCGCTAATCACTGCAGCACATGGGCCACGGCTCCTTCAGTTTAAAATAAGAGCCTGACACTTCCAGTGGCAGATTAACACGACCACATTAACAGGTGCCACATGGTTCACTATGGCCTCAGATGCAGTGCTGCATGCGGCACATCCCTCTAATGAGGCGCACCTAGCACGCACTGAGATGAATGTGCTTCTTCAGAGTTGTTCGTGGAGAATGTGCTTTTGGTGCATTGTCTCCACACAAATGAGGGTTCGCATCACGGTGGTAAAGTGGTGCGTATAGTGACTTACAGCACTCGCAGATGCCTGAGCCCAGCTAAGTCCGCCTTGGTGATTTTAGTCAGGTTGTTGTTGTTCAAGTCCCTGGAAAAAAAGAAAATAACGAAACAAAGTAAACACGTGACTGTTGGTGTGTAATTAAGGCAAGGACAAAGCCTGGACGTGCGTTTTATTCAAACTTCTGGCCCTGAAAGTGGATCCCAGGCAGCCCTTTGCACACCACAGGTATAGACTATGTAATGCCTGGTTCCCATTGCCCAATAAATGAGCAGAAGTTAAAGCCCACTTGTGCAAATCCGTTTTTTATTAAGTCGCTGGTTCGCAGACAAGACGTGGTCTGAAGGACAACCGCGACACGACCACAGCCAAGCACAATATCAGACTCTCAGATTAGAGTCCACAGTTATACGCCACAATTAGCCTACTTCTGCCTATAAATATGTTAGATGATGGCTGGTTGAATGGAGAGACTACAGTGACAATGTGACTCGTATGGATTATGCACAAGCAACATTAAGAATTTCCCTGCATTCATTAGGCTTCTATTAGACCTGTTGAAATGATGTGCTATGTAGTTTACCTACATATCTGTGGAAATAACATCTTAACCAACCACTCTTCGTTCTTTAACTTTAGTCCTGAAATAAACACTTTTGGACACTATCTACATGTCGTAGAGCAAACTCACAGTCTCTCGGTGTTGCGGGGAATGTTCCGCGGCACGCTGCGCAGCCCTTGGCCGTGACAGTCCACCGTGGTCCCGGTGCAGGAGCACGGAGCCGGACAAGGCTGTGCTCGCGCTCCGCTGTCTGCCGCCACAAGCAGCAGGACGCACGCCACCAGCACCGGGCAGACGGGGCTCACAGCTCCCACCATCACTGCGGCAAGTGGGGTCAATGCGAGACCCTTACGGCAGATTAGAATAAAGCCTTATTAAATCCGTAAGAAGGTCCGTTAAGTTACGTTCCTGGTTGTGTCGTGAGTTTCCCTAAGATTGAAAATCACATGTGTCCTCTCCTCTGATGACACCGCACAGTGTTGTCCCCTGTGTCTTTGTGGACGCGCTGGACCGGCTCTGTGGCTGCGCTACAGCGGCGCAAACTTCCACATGTCTCCGACATGCGGTGCACGAACCCCGGCTTCAGTCTGTGACTTACGCGGAAACAAAACCACTCCAAATGACTTCAGGAACCCCCGGATTTACGCACACTCCGCGTGACAGAAGCAGCAGTTAAGTCACAACGCGGCGGATCAAAACAAAGCAGCAGAGATAAGACCAGGTCCCGTTCATCAGTGTCGCAGGTCACAGCGGAGGCGAACGATGTGAGAAGCGTGTAATAATCCAAGTGTGCGTGGTGCGTGAAAGCGCTGCTCCTCAGAGACTGAGCGGAGAGGGAGAAGCAGGAGCGGGCTGTGAGACTGTGTCCACCCCCTCCAGCCTGCAGCAGGTCTCCTACACGTCACTCAGACTGCACAGGACCACTGCAGTCCACCTGCTGCCGCTGTCCCCATGAGAGGGGATCTCCTCCATCCAACTTTAGCTCACATTTAGAAACTTCTCCGTTCGTCTACACAAACAAACTAGCCTGTAGGTCAATAACAAATATATCTAATAATAGAAGCACGTATAGGCCTATCTTAAAATATTAATGTTTTGGTAAAAAATCCTTCATACTCAAACAATTATAATGCAGAAATGACAACATGTGTTATGGCTATTTTGTTCTGATAACCAGTGTTGGGTGCAACATGAATGCTATAGTTACTTGGTAATTTGATTACATGAAGTAAATCTAACTCATTACTTTGAAGATACTTGTAATTTGATAACAGTTTGGATACTAAAACACTTTACATGTTAGATTTATTAGTTACTTGCAAAACTAAAATACACAGTAAAACAGCTCTAACATAGAGCATTTCGAATGCGGAAAAAACCACAAAGACTGTGACTGCTGTGGTTTGAGGAAAACACCTCAAACACATCTAATCATGTTTAATATCAATATTTAAATAGTTTACTTGGTAATTTGATTACACTTTGTAATGTGTTACTTTCTTGAGGCACTAATTAGTGTGTTTTATTTATAAAGTTATCAGTTATAAGTAACAAATTACTTTTTAAAGTACCTTAGTAGCCATAACTGTTGAAAACATGGGGTCATTTTACAGTATTTGGTTCTTATCGAACAATCCAAAAGACTACAGTTGTGCATGATGAAATCCTTTAAGTAATGCAGCAGAGCGTTCACATACCAAACACAGATGTGATTGATAATTATCTGCATGCATTGAATTCTCTTGGTAATTTGTTCAATTAAAATGTTCTAGATGTTTATATCCTCGACCTTCATGAATCATTTTGAGCTCAATCAAACAAAGGCTTTTATTGTAGAATACATCCTTGCAAGATTGTCCCTGAATTGGAAGTGGAAAGATATTGGGGAGTGATGTTGTACATTTCCATTTTGCAGCAGGCTCCAGGGCACAGGACTTGTTTGGACACAGTATAATCTGACCTGCCACCTTCATGTGCACATCCGCATGCTCCTAAATGCTTCAAATTACTCCGTAAGCTTACACAAGTCTTCCGGTGTCTGCTCCGCCTCTGGGTACATTTGGACTCAAGGATCACAAACAAACTGGAGATTACCCACTGAAAATATACATTACATTTTAATGAGTGTAGAAGGAAGAAATAAGAGGACGATTATGAGGAGTGACACTTGAGATGGTGGAGACATAGTTTGAGATGTTATTCCAAAGGCGAAATCAGGGAATGTTCTTACTAAATTACTTGACATGGCATTTCACAAACAAGTGGACACATTTATAAACATTCAGACCCGAAGTCACTTAGGATCTGAATTCAGACCCTTAAATACAAATACAGTCTTAAAGTTCGGCTAATTTCTCCACCATTCCTGAGAAAGTTTCCAACAGGAAAGTTATTACCTCCGATCAGTGGCAGGCCTGAGGCAGGGGTCCTAGCATTGGTGTCCAGCGTAGCTTTTGTGTTTCCCGTGCGCTTGTCATGAGACGTGATGGAGAGGTCGGGCATGGCCTGACAAGACTTCTATAAATAACTTTGCTTCATTATGAAATTCCATTGTTGTTATGCCAATGAGAATATGAGGGGAACAAAGATCTATTCATTAGTGAGCGAGAAGCTTAGGCCAGATGATGCTTGTCAATGCAGAGGGGTGTGACCTGGCAGTGATCAACTATTCACAGAACATTGCATCAAACTCACTGTAGGAGTTGTGGCATAAAGAGCATTTCTTTAAAAGGTCTCAGTTCATCAGTAATATCAATAGCACAATCATTGTACGTCTAATCAATATATCCTCTTCAAAAAATCTCTTTATGAATACATTTTGAGGTTTGTTACCATTCATTATTACAAAACACTAAAATAATTAGGGTAAGTTGATAGGGCAATCCAGAAGCCCTCTCATTCTACTGTGTGGATTTAAGCTGTTTGTGTTATCTTTGGTTTATAGCGTGCACTAAAGCTGGGGGTGTCTGAGCCATGCACCTGGTTTAGAAACAGCTGCCACATCTTGTGCATGTTGAGTTCCCAATGCAGAATATAGCATTATCAGTAAAAAAAAATGACATCATACAAAAATACAATTTGTATTTGGGGGATAGTGGTCAATATTATTGATATTGCTGAATGACAGAATCAATAAAATGTCGGTTAGTTTATTACCTATGATGAAACATCCTTAACCATAAACTTCAACATGAGACAACATTGGGTGAGAGTAAACACTTAATTTAGGTGTTCATGCAACAGAGAAGAACTTATAATTTACCCTTGATTCTGTGGCTAACGAGAGAATCTGACCCTATGCCTGCTGTTTTCCTATTGATGACAGAGACCCAGACTCCTAACTCTTTGACCTGTGGACTGCAAGAATTCTGTAAAGTCCTTTGAGATGACTGTTGTTGTGAATTGGAGCTGAACAAAATAATTGGATTACATCCGATCCCACCTTTGTGTCTAAATAAAGACATACAGGGCCTTACTCTCATCAACTCAATGGGCACGTACCTGACTCAGCCTCAATTAGCCCTGAAAACGCAAACACTGAAACAGCAACAAACTCCATAATTACATGAACATCATGGCCATTATAAATGTCCTAGAGAAAAAGACAGCAGGAGATCCCTCCTCAGTGTAACTCATGATGTTCATGTAGAGCAGTCATCTGGACGGGCCTTGATGAGGAAACTTATGGCCAGCTTAGTGATGTGAACAAGTGTCAATGATCCATCTCTCAGGAAACAACAAAATGGCATGAGAATAAATTAGTCACAATTTATTCAACAGACAAAATAAAAGGGATTGTATATGTTTAATGTTGTACTTATTTTGTACATATTTTACATATTTTAATGTATACAGCACTGGTCTCAAACCTATGGCTCCAGAGCTGTCAGCAGCTCACTCGCCCCTTTTCAGGTAGATCAAGAATTTAACACATTATCCTGATTGATTCACTTTTAAATCATTACATGTCTATTTCATCGCCTTTTCCATGATTGGCTGTAATTTTTATATAAACTACAATTGTATTATGACTGTTAAAAGGAGTACCTGTCTGCCATTTCTACTTTATAAAAGTAGCTCTCCAATCAGGAAAACCCTGACCTACAGTATAGTACATATTCTATAACTTAGAATAACTATATTTACATCTTCATTCTTTAAACCTTTAAGGAAAGAACATAAACTTCACTTATTGACTTTGAGATCACATAAAAAACCAACAGTGTTTCTCCTCTACCGATCAGTGACCCACATACTGGTTACTCAGCTGTAGACGAGGGCCAATAGTCCTCCTAAGTCAAAAATGGCAGTTTGTGCTGAACCGGTCGTTGCAGAGTATTATTGTAGAATTGAATCAGGATTGTGGCCTAAAGGTGTGTGCGGGGACATGCTGGGTGTCGGTGTCACACTGAAACACACCCAGTTAGTGGCAGAGGCCTGGGGAGGTGCAGACTGCATGGGAAAGAATAGAGACAGGTGCTTATAGGAGAGAAGGTGTGTTCAATTTCCAATGGGGAGCTGGAATATAGTCTGTCAATGCAATGTGTATAAAAACAGCTATAAGGAAGTCACAAGTACTTCATATAAAAAAAAAAAACAATAAAAACATATGCCATTCAATTACAGAGGACAAATACAAAATCAAATCACTTCCTCGGCTATGTTTGTTCACATTTGATCTTGAGAGATTTCATGTCCGACCTGGGAATGTTCGTGAGTGAAACTGGCGTGTCTGATGTGTTGATTGTGCTGGACTCCCCACATTGTATAAGAATTATTTGTGATTTTGAATGGCCATGTATGGGGTCTCTTAAGTCTTACAGTAGATCACTGTTTTTATTTTTAAAATCTTGTCGTATTGTACAGCCTTTAGGTGTAATGAATGTATATGAGAAGTTCGCTACAAAGGCGAGGAGCAACAGTCTTGGAAGACCTGTTTCCTCAGGTTTTAGAAAAAGTGGGACCATCAACAGGTTTTGACTGAAAGAAGGCTGGATCAGTCTCTTTATGTCTTCAGGCGCTGACCATGAAGAGCCATGAAAGTCCGCACCAGGATTTTGAGATTGATTTGAGATTGGTAATATGGGCTCTCCTGTGGGTGTGGGTCAGATTCATGTAAGCAATCATAACAAGCTTGTGACTAAACTACATGTGTGAGCTTTCACATGTTGAGCAAATTAAAGTAAAATGTGTGCAGTTCTCAGGACATCTCTTTATCCGAGGTTACTCCATGGTTCCTCAGACTTCTGAGCTGCTCAGGTCACCAAGGTGCTAGGTAATGTGAGGCATCAATATCCGGGGCAACAACTAGGGTTTCCGTTTTACTAGAGTTCAGCTGGAGGCTATTATCACATCTCCATATCTTAATTTCGGCCAGACATGCTAAATAAACAAAAAAATAGTTTATTTAACTAAACACAACACACAATGCAATTACTTTCTTTTTTCTTTTCAGAACTGCTTATCCTTCAAGAGTGTGACTTAATCCTATTGCCTGTTGTTTCACAGATATTTGTGAAATTATCAACAATAATTTGTGCCTTTATGACGTTTGGGATCCAACCATTCATTTTCATATCATTATGTCTGATATACACAAACAATGGATGAGAAACAAAAAGACCTTCAATCCTGCTGGAAGAGTCAAGGAGAACATGCAGATTGCTGAGGCTCATTTGAGTAAAGTCTGGACAATCTCACCACAAGTTAGTATACACACAAATTCCAGAAACACAAAGTCCAAGGCAGCTGGTAAAAAACCTAAATAATGTATGTGACTAATAACTATTCAAAATATTCCAGTTCTTTTATTATCTCTTGGAGTGGAATAAAAAAGTCATGTGCACATGTTCCGCCCTGATAAAAAGGTGTGTGGTGAGACATGGAACTTTTGCATACTTCCCCTCTTGGCACAACAATGGCGTCTCAGCCGCCCTAATCCTCCAACACAATTATCTGCCGGTGATGTGTGTATTTAAGCAGCAACCACTCTGACTGTGGCTTTTCCATGAACATGAACCAAAAACAACACAACCTCCAGCACGCTGTGTTCCTATAAATATTCTGTAAGTGCAAGATAAACATGTGTATGAGTAATAGTAAAAAACTGGTGTGTTAAAGACTGCCTCGTTGCGACAACAGGTTAAAACATCCGTCAGAGCTCATCACTCGAACTGAATGGAGATTAGCAAACAAACTACAATATCCTTTAGATCCTTTGTCTGGACAAACCAAGGGAGACGTCGCCAAGGTGACAGTGAGAAGATTACAGATAAACAACAATCACGGATAAGCTTTTCCTTTCACTTCTCCTTAATCTAAATGAGAAAGAACAATAAACAATGCCACGCTCGATCTCTCCACTTGTATGGCTGTATGTGCTGCATTCTGAGAAGACCAGTGTTTATGTTGAACATAACAATAATCAGGTAGCACTCACAACAGGATTTCTCAATTTCTCTATAAGTTTGTGTTTCAAGAAAGCTCAAATTGTTCCGGTCACTCAGACATCCTCGTTTGGTGACAACTTTTATCGCTATCGTTTTTTTTCACTTTTTTTTTTCACGAGCAAATCATGAATACTACTACTAAAATGTTCAATAACCAAGTACGGTGACATGTGGCGCATTCATTCTCTTCTCTTCTTCTCCTACGGTATTGGCTTTATGCCCCCTCTTACAGCGGCCGGTGGGACCACAGCGTGGTCATCAGGTTTGGGCACGGTCGGACGGAGACTGCACTGTCTTGTCCCTCTTCTCTTCTTTGGGAGCTCTTAATAGTATCTCACAATACTGCATTGGTCCCTCAAGCTAATCAGTACCTGGTGATGGTTCATATAGTCCTACACATAGTAGGACTATATGAAGTCTATAGTCCTGGATCATATTTACTTTAGAATGCTCTGGAAAACGACTGCAATTCTAAAGTATCTCTGAAACAGTTGTTGTTTTGTGCTTTATAATTTTATTTTTTACTTCTTTTTTTCTGCCGAGATGTTGCTGCAGTACAGTGTTCATAGTTTTGCACTGGTCCAGACCGGAGCGGAGAGGATTCATGGTCCGAACTAAGCGGATCAGGTGAAAATCCACTGGAGGAAAGCTACCTTTTTGAAAAATGCAAATTTTCATCTAGCAATTTACTCTGGACTAGAGCAGAGAAAATGGTCCAAACCAAGCGGCAACTTCACTTTGTGACCTGTCCTGCTCCACCCAGTGACTACTTCATCTCTGCTGCTGTGACCCGTCCTGCTCCACCCAGAGACTACTCCATCTCTGCTGCTGTGACCCGTCCTGCTCCACCCAGAGACTCCTCCATCTCTGCTACTGTGACCCGTCCTGCTCCACCCAGAGACTCCTCCATCTCTGCTACTGTGACCCGTCCTGCTCCACCCAGAGACTACTCCATCTCTGCTACTGTGACCCGTCCTGCTCCACCCAGAGACTCCTCCATCTCTACTACTGTGACCCGTCCTGCTCCACCCAGAGACTACTCCATCTCTGCTG